TAGTGTAACCAAGTGGGACTTTTTCATTTAACCCAAAAACAACTTTTACTAGTGTACAAAGTGTTAGTGCTCGTATTCACAATTTCATTTCAAAGCATAATTCATGAAAATCAATTTGTATCCACGATTTAAACACATTGTATATTGCATACAAATCATCAACTACCTTTATACATGCTTTTCACCCCAAAACGTAATAAATACTTTGAAAGAGGGGTTGTGAATACTCACTCTTTTGCAATGCTCCAAAAATTAGAGATACGATCCGGTCACCACACGAGCTTAACGTTTCCCTATCAAAGAGGAATATCCAAAACCGTCACTTATGGGTTTAAATCTACTTATGGGGATTAATAAGTCCTAAGTCCATAAGTGTCTACTTATKTCCAACYTGATTATCTATAGTCCAAATATACATAATGCCCATATGCTCGTTAATATAGTAATTTATACCGGAAGTAACGCTATAATCCAATAAAAGATCAAAATTTATAAAATCAAATAATTCCAAAATCTCATTTTTGGACCGAAACTAATGGTACATAAAATGATCAATTTATAGAGACTTCTAAAATGAGATAGTTTCCTATCTTTTTATATGAGATATAGCACTGAGTTATGGTCATTGAGACCAAATTTGATGCATTTTGGACATGTAATAATGATTCAAATAATTTATGCAATACAATATGTCACAACCGATATGGCAGAATATACCATGTTAGTAAAATACTCATTAAAAAGTTCTACTAAGTGTTCTGCAGAAATTCAAGTTGGATTATAAACTTAACACTTAWATGAAACTTTTAAACTAAGAATCACTCATTTTGGATGAGTTGAGAGGAAGATATGGAACCATAAAGTTACATACACACATCTGTCATTAGTTGACAGATTGCACACTTAACTTAATTGAATTGGTTAATGCCCCAAAACCTCATATTTTTGAGTTAAACTGGATTCATCAGAACCCTAACTCATAAAAAAACATTTCAGAAGAAGAATCATACACTAAGAGCAAGTAAATTAAGAGATATTAGCATACAAAGTGGGAGTTACTACTGATGGTTTCACAGTTTGCACACCTAAAGTGTTTTAGGTGTTTGAAGATCAAAACGCCATATTTTCATGTGATTCCACTTGCAAGCAGAAGATAACTCAAATAGTTAACTCTCAAAGGAAGAATCATCCTTTTTCATCGAGTTTTGAAAGAGATATGGTCGTTAGAACATACATATACAAATCTGTCAGATTCGGACAGATTGCATGCTCACTTTGATTTGAGTAGTTAAAACCTTAAATCACCACATTTTTGAATGAAATAAGTGGCATTTGAAAGGTAACTCCTTAAGTTAACTTCCAGAAGAAAAATCAATAATTGTGAATGATTATCTAGAGAGTTATGGCTGCTTAAAGTAGGTAAAAACTCTCAGATGCACATTCATAATGTTTTGAGTATTTGGGGAGTCAAAACTCAATGTTTTTGAGTGACACCAATTGGATTACAACCCCAACTCAATAAATAAACTTTTAGAAGAAGATTCATAACATTTGAACATATTATTTTCAAGATATGGACGATTTATGCACATGCACATAATCTGTCAGCACCTAAAAATGCCATTTTTAAGAATCATACACACATACAATCATGATGTTACCTATCTTCTTGAGTTCTAATGTTTGGGTCATAGATCACCACCATCATATGAACATTTTTACATGTTTTTGGTGTGTAATCTCTCCTTAAAACTCATAATTTTCGGAGGTTAGAAGATAGTAATTTAAAATGCATAAAAAGTAGGTTTTCCCCCAAAATTTGCAAGAAAAAGATGGAGATGGAGTTGTTACCTTGATTGTTGATAAGAGGGATGTAGTGTCTTCAAAACCCTTGCTATTTTGATGAAGAAAAGAGGAAGAATTCGGCTGAATAAGAAGGAGGATGAAGGTGACTCTTGAGTTTTAGGGAGAGAAAGGGAGAGGAGTTTCCAATTTGAAAGGATGCAAATGAGGAATGATGAAAGAGCTAAGGTATTTATATGTGGATTAAGGGAGGGAAAGGGGGGAAAGGGGCCGGCCATGCGATGGCCCAAGCTCACCCTCTATATATATATATTTTTTAAAAACTAAAGCCCAAAATGCTAAAGTGTCATTTTTCTCAATTTTGACATTTTTCTTCAAATTATAAACCCATGATGGCTAAATTCATTTAAATAAAAAGGTTTTATATTTAAAACACTAAAAAATTTGTGTTTTATATAAATTGGGTATAAATTAGAGCATTTGGCATTGTATAGGACGTTTCAGATAATTACGGGTCGGAACCAGACTTTCTAAGCAGCTACCGGAATCTCTAGAAATTTTCGGCCAAAATAACCTAACTAACTCCTAATCTTATAAATTATCTTCAATAACACTAATATAAACTTAATAAGAGCTAACCTGGAAGTTCAAATTTGACAGTTGCCACAGTCTCCCCTTGTTAGAGAAATTTCGTCCCAAAATTTAACGACTGCTACCGCCAAAGGATTTTTCTGCAAACATTTGCGGATATTTGCCTTTCATGAAATCTTCTCGCTCCCAAGTGTACTCTGGACCATGTTTCGCATTCCAGCGGACCTTAATAATAGGGATTTTTCTGCTCCTCAACAGTTTAACTTCTCGGTCCAGTATCTCGATTGGTTCTTCAACGAAGTGTAACCGATCGCTAAGCTAAACGTCGTCCAGGGGTAACACTATTGTTTCATCCATTAGGCATTTCTTCAGATTCGACACATGGAACGTGTCATGGATGGCGCTTAAATTTTGTGGCAACTTCAACTTGTACGCCACTGGTCCGATTCTTTCGAGTATTTCGAATGGAATAATGTATCTGGGACCCATCTTGCCTCTCTTCCTGAATCGTACTAGTCCCCTCCATTGCGATACCTTTAAGAGTACTTTATCCCCACTTGGAATTCCAACGGCTTTCTCCGATTATCCGCATAACTCTTCTGACGGTCTCTTGCCGTCTGAAGTCTCTCCTTGATGATTGAAATCTTGTCGGTTGTTTCCTGGATAATATCGGGCATTGTCAACTGTCTATCTCCGATCTCTACCCAGTTAAGCGGTGATCTGCATTTACGTCCATGTAGGGCTTCGTACGGTGCACAGTGTATGTTGGTGTTATAATTGTTGTTATAAGAGAATTCAACAAGGGGTAGATGGGTATCCCAACTCCCACCAAAATCTATTGCACACGCATGCAACATATCCTCAAGCGTTTGAATAGTTCTTTCCGATTGCCCATCTGTTTGAGGATGATAGGCGGTGCTATAATCCAAACGCGTACCCAATGCCTTTTGAAGAGTCTGCCAAAATCTTGATGTAAAACGTGTATCTCTATCTGAAATAATGGAAATAGGCACACCATGACGTGTAAGTATTTCATCGATGTAGATTTGTGCAAGCCTTTCCATGCTGAAGTCTTCTCGAACAGGTAAAAAGTGCACAAATTTTGTAAGCCGATCCACTATGACCCAAATTGAGTCATGTCCTTTCCTAGTCCTAGGTAACTTAGTAGCGAAGTCCATTGATATCTGGTCCCACTTCCATTGGAAAATCTCTGGTTGCTGAAGGAGACCAGACGGTTTCTGATGCTCAGCTTTTACCCTTGTGCATGTTAAGCATCGGCTTACGTACAAAGCAACGTCTTTTTTATTCCTGGCCACCAGTAATATTCTTTTAGCTCCTGGTACATCTTTTCATTTCCTGGGTGAATTGAGTATCTTGAGAGATGTGCTTCCTCAAAAATTGTTGACCTGAGGTTGTCGTCCTTTGGTATCCAAACTCTATCTCTAAAGTAACGTACCTCATCTGCTCGGTTTTCGAATTCCTTCTCTAAGTGATGAAGGGTCTCGTTCTTCAGATTTTCTGCTTTCAACACCTCTTCTTGAGCTTCACGAATTTGCATTTTTAGGTTCGTTTGAATTATTATCCCCATGGCTYGTACTCTTGACGGTTTTATTCTTTCTTTTCGGCTTAGGTCGTCTGCTACCACATTAGCTTTCCCTGGGTGGTATTTGATTTCGCAGTCATAATCTTTGAGAAGATAGTAATTTAAAATCGTTGAGAAGAGGAGTTTCAAATTTGAAAGGATGCAAATGAGGAATGATGAAAGAGCTAAGGTATTTATATGTGGATTAAGGGAGGGAAAGGGGGAAAAGGGGCCTGCCATGGGATGGCCCAAGCTCACCCTCTATATATATTTTAAAAAAAAAAACTAAAGCCCAAAATGCTAAAGTGTCATTTTTCTCAATTTTGACATTTTTCTTCAAATTATAAACCCATGATGGCTAAATTCATTTAAATAAAAAGGTTTTATATTTAAAACACTAAAACTTTGTGTTTTATATAAATTGGGTATAAATTGGAGCATTTGGCATTGTATTGGACGTTTCAGATAATTACAGGTCGGAACCGGACTTTCTAAGCAACTACCAGAATCTCTAGAAATTTTCGGCCAAAATAACCTAACTAACTCCAAATCTTATAAATTATCTTCAATAACACTAATATCAACTTAATAAGAGCTAACCTGAAAGTTCAAATTTGACAATTGTCACACTTTGTAATGTTAAAGATATCTCCATGGAAAGGTGTTATGAGATTTGGGAAGAAAGGTAAGCTTAGTCCAAGGTATATTGGACCATTCAGAATCTGCAAAAGAATTAGACCGGTAGCTTATCAGTTGGAATTATCAAAAGAACTCCGCTTAATTCACAACACCTTTCATGTATCAAATCTACGCAAATGTTTGGCAGACTCAAGTTTAGCAATACCAATTCCTGAGATTAAACTTGATAATAAGCTGAGTTTTATCGAGACACCGGAGGCAGTAACTGAAAGAAAGACCAGAGTATTGAGAAACAAGGAGATCAATTTAGTAAAAGTGCAGTGGCGTTTTCATAAGGGTTCAGAAGCAACTTCAGAATTAGAATCTGATATGAAAACCCAATATCCGTGGTTAATTGAATAAGTGAATTCCGGGACGGAATTCTTTTAAGGAGGAAGAATGTTATAACCAAGTTTGAGACGACCTGGGTTGAGGTAATTTATACGTGTTCGTTATGTGGATTACGTGAAATATGCATGTCTAAGTGGAAATGCATGAACTATATATGTGAAATGTGAACATGATATTGTGCATGCATATATGTGAAAAGATGACATGATATGTATGTAATTTATACATGTATGCATGTGGTRTGAAGCATACATGAGGTGATGTCTATTTGTGATAAGATATTCTGGTGGAAACATTATTATATTCAAAAACTTATACCTTCATGGTTAAGAAACCATGAATTTTATAATGAAAAACCCACCACCCAAGATTATTTCTATTGGTTAAAGCTTTCACCGCCTATGAGTTTTTACTAATCTTCACCGCCATGGTGGGAGTATTTAATGAAATAAAAAGATAAGATTCTATCTTATCATTTCATTTTGAAGAAAAATCTGTTGAAAGAGAAAAAGAATGTTGTGGCGGTGAGAAGTGTTCTTGAACAAATCTTTTGTTCAAAGCTGTTTGAAGAGCTTGTGATTTGTTGTGTGTTTTAAAAACTACAGAATCTGTGATTGTTAAGCTGAGTTTTTTTAACTACCGTTGATTATAAACTGTGAGTTTTTTTTAACTACCGTTGATTATAAACTGTGAGTTTTAAAAATATTGTTGATTATACACTGTGAGTTTTTGATGACTAAAACCTTTATCTATAGTGTTATATAAACTGCTGGGTTTTGATGTTGGTTTTGAAGAAAAGATGATAATAACTATTTTGATAGTTTGAAGGTGTTATTGTTATATGTTTGAGTATTAAAAAAATTGTTTTGGAAAAGATAAAGAAGATATTGCCTCTTTAAAACAGTTTGGGAAATGAAATCCTGTTTTAAGGATTTTAAAAAAGGATATGATGTTTTTCGAAATCATTGAAAGAATAGATTGTTCTTGAGTTTGAAAGGTTTTAATTATAAAACTGTTGGTTGAAAACTATAGAGAATATTCTTTTAAGACAATTGTGATTTTATTCTGTCTTCATTTGGAATTTATCTATAGATTTTATGGATAAAACTATGAATGAGGATTAGATAAGATGGTTGTGACTGCGGTCCTTCATCTGAACTAATTCATAGCTTTTGAAGAAGAAATAAGGGTGGCATATCAAGGAGAGGTGT